CTAAGCCCTAAACCCTAAACCACCAGTGGGTTATTCTGCAGCTCTGAGCTCCCAACTTCCAGAAGCCACGACTATGTGGTGCTTAGTAGGGAATGCGGGAATGGGATATAGGGTTTAGGGTTTAGGGGAATGGGTTATAGGGGCCTACTATAAGGGACCTTAAGGGACTATCATAGGGATCCATTCCCCCATTCTCTACTAAGCACCAGACAGACGAGGAAATGGAGGCCGCGGACCAGTTGCGCCAGCTACTGCATCGATTGGGCTCCCCCTTCGTGCAGAAGTCGCTGGGCTTGATTCGGAATCCCGGAAATCAGTACTATAGGGGCCTGAATAATTAGAACAGGTTTGGGGTTTTAGTATTAAGGCCCCTACATTAAGCCCGCTTGAGGGCTTTGGGTTCAGGGTTTAGGAGTTTAGGGTTTAGCGGATTAGGGTTTAGGGGAGTATGGTGTATGGGTTTGGGGTTTAGGATTTCGTCAGTCCGATTAACCGAACACCCAGAGACCCAAAGATGCCTCAATGAATACCGAGCTGACATGGGAGTTTCCGAACCTTCTTTTGGGGTCCTTATAATAAGGATCCTAGTATTTAGGGTACTATATTAGGGTCCCCTATTTTCGGAAACCCCCACATGAACCCGAAACCCTCCCTCCATCCCTGTCCCAAAGGTTGACATGACAGACTCATAACCCGTCCCAAAAGACACCAACCTGGTATATAACACACCCTAAACCCTAACCCCCTAAACCCCTAAACCCCTAATCCCCTAAACCTTAAATCCCCTAAACCCTAATCCGCTAAACCCTATATCACACCTTAAACCCTAAACACTAGAAGACCCTACGGCCCGAACGCATCTGGGATAGCTGCGAATCGGAGCCGCAGGCTCTGAGTGCAGTGCATCTGGCACCGCTTCTATTTTGACTACTGCGTGTAGGGTTTAGGGTTTAGGGGAGTAGGGTTTAGGTTAAGGGTTTACAGTTTAGGGTTTCTGCTGGGTTTAGAGTTTAGGATGTTTCAAGACTACAGGGTCTCGCAGTTGGAAAGTGAGGGCTTAGCCATCGCGCAAGATACTGGTGAAGGGTAATTTGCTTCACGCTTCACTATGTACAGAGAGTCTCTTTTTCCCGTGCAATGCTGTGTTTCTAGCAATTGACACTAAGACTACGTGAACTTGTTGTTTATTCACGGATCCCCGTGTATGTAGGTTGGCTTGCGACCTGCGCCAGACAGGCTCCCACTTCGTGCCGTAGTGGGTTCATGTGATACAGGGGCCTGACTACTGAGGAAAGGGTGTTGGGGCCCTTTCCCGTAGAAGTATAATGCTATAAAGTAATCTGTGGAAGAGCATAGGTAATAGTTCTGGCAGCTATTGGGGGTGCAGATCCATCACCTATAGCTTCCGCCAGCGACCGTCAAGTCAAGCTCTCATCCCTTTCTGCACCCGACTGACGCCATGGGCTGCCTCATGGGAGTCTTGTCGTTGGCTTGGTGGGTCTGCTTTTTTGGGGTTTGGGGACTTGAAGCTCCGGGGGGTGGGTGAGATTTGGATTGTTGAGAGTCAGGGTCAGGGGAGATCAGCTCGTGGCATGGTTCCGCTGTACCTTAAGAACCCAAAACCTACTTTTTTGCAGGGTCCCTATAAATCCCATATTAGGGTTTCTAATAAGAACCTACAAAAAAGTGGGTTTTGGGTTCTTAAGGTAGCCCTGTGACGCCAACAAAACGAACGTCTCAGGAAAGGAGGAGATGGCTGGACAGCCGATGCCTTATGCCCCGAACTACAACTACCCGAACCAAGCGCACCGCGGCATAGACGAAGACGAGCTTCAGGGCTCAGGGTTGGGGGTTCCAGCATCGCCTTGTTTCTGTGTGGTGAAGTTCTGTATGCCAGGTACGGTGGCTATCAGCAAGTCTATGAGCAGCAGTATGTTCCGGGACAGGTTTGCCAGCCCAACAGGTACGAGAATGCTCCGGGGCAGCCCTTTTGCCAGGATCGCTTCGGCTGCATGTCTGCTTTGCTTGGACACATCGTTTTGGCAGAACCCTAAATGATCTCCAAACAGGCCCAAGCCAATTTTTGCTTCAAGAGTTACTTGTAAGTTGCACTTTTTGGCAGGATCGCTTCAGCTACAACCAACCGTCGCCGGGCTTTTACGGCGACTGCCGCCCCACGGTGCCGGAACCGGTGCAGTGCCGGCCGGTGGCGGGATATGCTGATCCTTATGCCCAGCCTGGATGCTTGGGCAGCCGCCATGCAGGTTGTGTCGTTTTTGGGGTAGACATATTTTCGTTATGTTGGACATTAGTTTAGTTGTGTTGGACCTTTTTACAGACTCTTGTGGCATTCTGAGCCATCAAGGATACACCCAGCCTGGCTACAGCCAGATGGACTATGGCGCACCCAGCTACGGTCAAGAAGGGTCGTATCAGCAGAGTCAAGGAATGAGCTCAGGCGGCTTGACTGTCTCACGCAGGGAGGACTCCGCTAAGTAAGCACCCAAATCCCATGCAAGTTCGACCTCGAAGGCGCGAAGATGGCGATGGCTGGTGCTGGTGGCTTAGCTCTTGGAGCTGGGGCGGTCTTCGCGGCCGAACACGCAGGCCACTTGGGGGCTAGGTGCTACTTGCAGCAAGTTGGAGTCTACAGCTTGAAGGTGTCGAACTAAAGCGACGGCACAAAGGATGCATTCCGATTGCTGCGCCTGTTTGCTGTCCCGAGGCGACATTGCTCAGTTTACGGAGGGTGCCTTCGATGATGTTGGGCACTTCGCGGGAGACGCCGCGCACGGTGTTGAAGAGTTCGTGGAGGATATCTTTTGAGGACGCACCGTTCCTGCAGAAATCTAGCCTCAGAAGTAGGAAGCATCGACAGAATCGCCATGGATATTAGCTAGTTGCTATGACGGTGCCCAGATAGGAGCTGTACAGACCTCCTTTCTGGTGCTCCGAGCCTCAGTGGGCAAGTTCTTTTGTACAGTCCGCCCAGTCGCCATCGGGTCTTGGTGACTTTTGATGCGGTGTGGAAACATCCCATACAGGCGCTGTGCACTTTTAGGGCATAAATAAGAATGACCTATACTATTTGGGGGGCTCCTTATTGTAAGTCTAGTATGATATACACCAAAACCTTATTCTACTTATTAAGGCCTCTACAGTACTGGGGGAAACTCTGTCGACCCTAAATCAAGGCTGTGAACCCCGCGCGCCTCGTACACGAAACTCCAACCCGTCCCTTTTCTTCTTTGGGATTCTTCGGAGGCTTGGGCAACTCTTGGCCGAGTCTGTGGGGTTTCGCGGCTTCCAGAGGCTAGTCACCAGTAGCTTACGGCGTTCAGTGGTCAAGCTCGTGTCCGCTGCTCCCCCCGACAGACTGACGCCATGGGCTGCCTCATGGGAACCTTGGCATATCTTCTGGTCGCTTCCGTTGTTCCAAGGCCTGGAGGTCTCTCTAAACCCTAAACCCTAAACCCCTAAACCCTAAACCCTAAACCCCTAAACCCTAAACCCTAAACCCCTAAACCCTAAACCCCTAAACCCTAAACCGATCCAGGGCTTCAACATTGAGTCGAGCTTGCCCACCTGCCCGATAGCTCTCCTAGTCTGAGGAAAGGAGGAGATGGCTGGCCAGCCGATGCCTTACGCCGCGAACTACAACTACCCAAACCAGGGGCATCTCGGCAAAACTGAGCTTCAATGTGTTTTTCGGCTTTGGGCTATTTTCAGGGGTTCCAGCCTCAACAACTTTTCCCTGTTTCAACGAAATGCTCTCTGCTTGATTTGATGACGGTCATCGGATGTGCTTCTCCACTCTATTATCATCTGGGGAAGCTAGGGTTTAGGGTTTCGGGGGGTTCAGGGTTAAGGTGCTGGAAGGTGGGGGATAGGACTTTCCAGGAAGGCGCGACGGTCCCCAGCCTGCCTGGCAAAATTCTCCACTTAGACTCGTGGCTTTGCGACGCGACTGTCTGGCTTCGTGAGTGCACACGAGGTGTCGTGGATCAGCTTCATTCCTGCTCTTGAATGTGAGGTTGCTGTGTTTCGATGCTGTTGTTGTGGCTGTGTGGCATGTCCTAGTCACTAGTTCTCGTTCGTTGTTTGGCTCACTCTTATTCTGTTCTTCTTGGTCGCAATGCTGTTGTTCATGTTCTTAGTTCCCTAAACCCTAAACCCCTAAACCCTAAACCTTAGACCCTAAACCTTATTAGTATTCTAAGACCTCAATCCTAAACCCTGGGGTCGTATGTTTTTTCTGGTAGCTTTTCAGCGTGCTTACCCAGGTGGGTTCGGGCTCGCTGACAAACTCGTTAACGAAGGCTGTGCGGAATCTCGTATTCGACTGAACAGGATAGTGAAGCTGCTGACATCGATTGTTTCCTTCATTGAGGCTTTCTGATGTCAACACGCTTTCGAGATGTCTGCGTGTAGGATTACGGTGCGCTCGGGATTCGCATGCATTTTTTGATCCCGAGGTACGGTGGCTATCAGCAAGTCTATGAGCAGCAGTATGCACCGGGACAGGTCTGCCAGCCCAACAGATACGAGAATGCTCCGGGACAGCCCTTTTGCCAGGATCGCTTCGGCTGCATGTCTGCTTTGCTTGGACGCATCGTTTCGGCAGAACCCTAAATGA